TGTGCCTTGCCTCCCACCGACTCCCACCCCATTATTATCTTTTAACCCAAAAACGTTTCAAAAATATTTGTTTTAATATATTTTGTTGCCTTATCAGCCCCGCAATGCCAAGTGGAGGGCTCCCTATCTCTCTCTCATATTGGGTTGAAATGGTATAAAAAGTTTGTTGGGGCTAATTTTTGTGATCAAAAGTGAAGAAATGAGGGAGATAAGAGATGAGGGGGTACGGTGAAATCCTTAGGGATTTTTTTTATGCCCTTGGAAAGTAAAATAGAAAAAGGGTCTACCATGAAATAATTTGGGGACTTAGGGTTCTGTTCAAAATTTTCCTTTTTATTTTTGTTAGGCTTGGTTTGGGAGAGCTTCCTGTTATTATAACCAACATGAATGGTATGGCAGGCAATTGCGCTTGGTACTAGAAACAAAAAGGCTTGGGGGCTTCTTTCAAATTTCAATTGTATAAGGGCGTAAAATTGGCATTTTGAATGTCAGCTCTGTAGTGTTAGGGCATGGCAAACCATACCCTGTTCATTGTAATAGGTTCGTTAACTTTGTTCCACTTTGCCATATAAAATACCTCTTTGCAAACACAGATTACTCACGAAAAATCTTTAGCAGAATGTGGAAATCTTAAAATGTTTTGTTCTTTCATATTCTGCAAGTTGTTCCATATTATTCTAAACAAAAATAGTGATGCTAATGACTGTGCTAAGCATGTGCATTACTGACTTTGTTGCTATGTATGGTGTGCATGATGTTTTGAATTCATGGATCTGATCGGACGACTTAGAATGGGGGGTAGAAATCTAGACCAGGAAATCCATTCTTGAAATCTCAGCTAGAATTCATCCTGTACCATTTTTTTGGAAATTCTTCATCATCTTCATCATAGCCTTTTCCTAATTAATTGGGGTAGGCAATTTTTTGGAAATTACTATAATTAATTTCTTAATAGAGGGCGAATTTTGCCTGCTTATTTGTTGGAATTATCAATTAGTATCATTATTTGTAAATCGTACATGAGCGTGTTAATTATATTTTTCTTTATGTTTTGGATTACATTTTGTTGTGTGGGATTATTTGTGTTCTTGTGTACTCAGTTTTGAATGAAATAGACACATTACTCATTTCAACCAATGAATTCAATGCTTTTGCACTATTCCAATTTGTATGAAGTTAAATCTCATTTTAGCTTTCCCCAATGATTTTAACTAGTAATTACAAGGAAAATACTTGGTTTTTAATTTTCAGCATCGAGACAATACCTATAGCGATCTCCGATAAGGCCATGCAATCTTCTATTAATAATAATGGGAGCCATGATCTTTTGTCCAAATGATTTTTTTCTAAAATGATTGAAAAGAGTCTTGGTCCACTATTTTTCGCCCCTTTTTAATGGCGAAAGAAATTCTCACTTTGCTGACAAAATTATTTCAAAATATCTTCTAAAAAATCTCATGGGCACTTTTTTTTGCCTGAAGTTGCCCAGAAAAAAGAGTAAAACTATTGTACATATGTTCCAATATATTTTTCCTATCCTTTTTTCTTTTTCTCAAATTTCATTTTTTTTAAGTGAAATGATCTTATAGGACCCTTCCCCATCCATGTGTGTAGGACCCCAAAGGATCACCATTAAATTTGGCACGGATCTATAGAAAAGTCACGTCCCACACCCATGTGATAACTTTTCTAGAGATCCGTGCCAACTTTAATGGTGATCCTTTGAGGTCCTACACACATGGGTGGGGGAGGGTCCTATAGGATCATTACTCTTTTTTAAAATTTTTACTTGTTTGCTCCTTTTTTTTGGGTTGATCAACGTTAGGGTTCGAACACATTTGCCATAAATATTTTTAATAAATCAAGCCCAAGCTTTAATCCTTACAAAAGGACCAGAAATAATGTTTAAGTGAGTTCTTACAAAGGCTACAAAATGATGGCAAGAAACAGTTGAAAGATAAACCCTAGGCTCGTATATAATGTTTTCTTGATTAAATTTGAGTGAAGAAAATGTATTCTTAAAGCAAGATAAAGTTTTCTTGATAAAGTCCAGTTGTCATTCTTTAGCCCAGGGGATCAAGAAAATTCTTTTATTATCCCTTTAAGAAATTCTTTTATAATGACAAGATTCTTGCCCTAACTAATACATGGGCAATATAGTAATTTAGGGACTTCTTCCTTCTCAAAGGAGAATTTATCCTTTTGTGAACACGCAAATATAGAAACTTGTTTGTTTATTTATTTTTTATTAATCTCAATCTGGTTTAAGTTAACGGACTTTGTAGATAATCATCCTTATCATTAAGAAAATTTGTCAATCCTAAGATAAATGGAATTCAATGCGTAATAACTCCCCCCAAAGCTCATCTAAATATATAACTATACCCATTCCCCCTAAACTAATCAAGCAATACTAGTTCCCCAAGATCACATTACTAGTACCCCAAGATCACATTACTAGCCCCCAGATAAGACTATACCCTCTTCTCTTCTCTTCTGTTTCTGTGGCATCAACATGAATGTATTCGAGGTGACCCTCATCTCGGCCCAGCTGCTTCGACTTCAACCACCAAAGAAGCCGGTTAGTCGAAAACCCTCTAAGTTCCAAATCTATGCAGTACTTTGGATCACCCCACAAGAGAAGCACCAACAAATACAGCACAAGTCGCGGGTTGTCGACACCGAAGGTGGAATGGAAACAAAAGTTCGTCTTCAATGTAGATGATAGCTTGCTCTTCAAAGCTACCTCTCGAGACAATGAAGAGGAAAACACCTCCTCGGTTGCCATCAAGATTTACCGAAAGCATCCTCACTTCTTCTCATATAAACTTTTGGGCTCGGCACAGATTCATCTTAGTGACTTGATTGGATACAGTGATTGGGGCTTTGCGTCGTTTTTTCTTGATTGTCCTTCAAGTCGAATTCAGTGCCAGGTGAATGTAAGCGCCGCCTTTTGGAGTAATGGTTCCATCTTGCTCACTGTCTTAATACCAAGTATCATATCTGCCATGCTTAGATCCATCATATCAAAATTAGATCCAACCTCCATAATTTCCAAGTTGAGGCCAAATGTTAGCATACTATTAATGAAAAGATAAATTATGACACCCATTGAATTAGCTTCCTTTCTATACACACACTTGTCTGCCTCACTTATTTTAAAATCATTTGACAATACTACACTATCAAATTTCTTATGCCATTATTTTGGAGTTTCAACCCATACAATGATTTGACCATTTTGCACACTGTGTTTATGGCCTGGCACAACAAAACCTTTCACTGGTTCCATATAGATTTCTTCATCCAACTCACCATTTAGGAATGCAATTTTCATATCCATTTGGTGAATAATTAGACAAGAGCAAATAGCATTTGTATAATAGATATCCTTGCTATAGAAGCATGAGTAGGGGCAGCAATGGACCCGAATCCAATCCGGGACCCACGGAATATACCCAACACGAGTCCGGGTATGGGTCCAACATTTGGACCCTGTGGGTAGGGTCCGGGTCGAAAACCTAGACCCAAAGACTATTCAAGTCCAGGTACGGGTCAGGGCGGACCCGACCCATAACCGACTTGTACCCATAAACTATACTTCAAACCCTATTTGTTTGGGTGTATTAAGGATCATATACAATTAGAACTTGTAATCATCTTTAGCTATTAAACAACAAATAAGACAGCTTGAAACCTAATGGCAGGTGATTATGACCTTGTTGCCAATAATATGAGTATATGATAATAAAGAAAAAGGCAACCAAAAAAAAAAAAGAGATCAGAGTGAGGGTGGCAATGGACCCGACCAGACCCGAGACCCGACGGGATAGATCCAATACCCGACGGGTATAGGTATGAGTCTAACTTTTGGATCTGACGGGTTGGGTCTTGGTTCAAAACCTTGAAGGTTCCTCCTCAATTGAAGCCATGACTATATCACCCAAAACTTCTTTTGGTTAGCCTCCACCAAGCGAATATAAAAATCAGGCCCAAATTATATGATGGATCCTTTCTCGCTTTTTAACTTCCTCATTGTTCTACAACCTCTTCAATGGGTTCATTACAGGTTTTAGGTTCATCTCTTCTTGGAAGAGGCTCAACATGTTGTCATTCACTTTTATGAGTCAAGTTCCTAAAGAAATTTGCATCTCTAGATTCAATTATAGCATTAGAACTAGTTCTAGAAAGTGGTATGCCTTACTTTTGTGCATACCCTACAAAAGCACATCTAGAGGTTCGGGGTCCCAATTTATTTCTTTTTAGATTCAGCAATCTTATATATGTCAAACATCCCCACACTCTGAGAAAATCCAAATTTTGGTTGTCATTGAACTAGAGCTCTTAAAGTATTTTCTCTACTTTCTTATATGGAATTTAGTTAAGAATGAAATATACAAAAATTAAAGCTTCACCTCGCAAAAACAACGATAAAGCAAGGTTGATGATCATAGAATTGACTACTTTCACCAATGTCTAGTTCTTTCTCTCGGCTAAGCTATTCAGTTGAGGTTTGTACGGGGTGGTGACTTGGTGAATGACTTCGTTGTTTTCACAAAAAGCATAAAACTCATTTGATTCAGATTCCCCACCTTGGTCACTCTTCACAATCTTAATTTTTCTCTCATGTTGTTTTTCTTCGACTTTATATATGTTGAATTTTCCAAGTGCCACATCTTTGTTCCTCAACAAATAAACATATGTGTACCAAGAGAAATTATTGATGGATGTGATAAAGTATCTCTTTCCTCCTCTTGTGAGGACATTATTAAGGTCATAAATATCTATGTACAAGCCCCAATAATTCAATATTCCTCTCGAGTAAAGAGAAATTGTTTCTTGTTATTTTGGCTTGAACACAAGTTTCGTATTTACCGTTAGATACATCACCACATTCATGGATTAAGGCCCACTTAACAATATTCTTAATTGAAGAAAAATTCAAATGACCTAATCTAGCATTCAAAATATTAGAAACACTCGCAAGATACACGGAGGAGTTCTTTATTTCATTACTCAAACCCATTAAATGTGTACACTTTTCCAACAAAGACATCTCTCTTGGTTAAAACGACCTTATTAGATCCAATGACCTTCCGAAAGTCATGCTTATTAAGCAAATAACCCAACATCAGGTTCCTCCTCATTTCAGGAGCAAAAAATACGTTCTCTAAAGTGAGAACTTTATCCGAACTAAATTTCAGATCCATTGTACATGTATCAAGCATCATTGCCAAGTCTTGAGTTACTAGTTGGATTGAGTTCCCATTTTCCATCAGCTCATAGGTCTTGAAATAGTATTGGTTGATACGAACATGGATGGTAGTACTTATGTCTACCCACCAACCAGAATCATTTCCAATAAAGTTGACCTCTGTGTTCGTAGCAACAATTTTCTCTTCTTCGGTGGTTTAAGTTCACTTGGTTTAAGGACATTGTAGCTTCTTCTGGTGTCGACACTCTTTAAAATAGTGCCCAAGTTTCTCACATAGGTAACAAATGCTTTTCTTTTTAGATGTTTTATTTTTAAAGATGTCTTT